GCTTTGAAATATTTATGCTGAGCAGCGTGCTCTTTGCACGTGCCAAAGAGTGAGTTAACGCACGCTGACGTAGCAAATGTTTGTGCACATTGTTTCTGCTTACGTGACTTTTCAACACTTGGTGCGGTTAAGAGATATGAAATACATGTGTATTTATGTATGTGAGTATGTATATTTTTAACAATTCGTTTCATATGAACATTATGTCAATAAGTAGTAATTGTATGACCATATACATACATACATATGTACTTATGTAGGTTTGTATACGAGCTTTCGCTGTTTTTGTTTACACTCTTTAACTCTCAAGCAATTGTAAAATGTTCAGACGGAAGCATCTAGAAGGTTTAGAATTAATTAAATCAAAATAGATAAACATTTTTTGGTCTTAAATAAGAGTGGAGAGCTAATAAATCTTGACCCCCGCTGTTCTTGGAGGTAATAAAAACAATTGAGTACTTGACTATGGAAAGTTTTTCAATTTGATTCAATTAGAAGAATCGATGCCGGGCCATATGTATGTACATATGAATGTACTTTTTAAATTTAAAAAAAAAAAAAAAAAAAAAAATCTGCACAGCGCAAAAGAGCGAAATAGAATGACGTGTGAAATTCGGCAACATCGCTTGGGCGTGTGCGAAGTGGGAAGCGGAAGATGAAAGCAGATCGTGTTCAATGTTTAGCGAATTTAAATTGCGTTCTATTAAAAATAATGAAATCTTCATTACAAACACATGAGCAGCAAACAAGAAGAGTGCGTGAGAGTGAAAGATAGACGGAGAGAGACGAAACAATGGAGACTGACATAATCGAACTGCAGAGCGCTACACAGCACGTTGCTATTTTGTTTTTATTTTGAGCTGGCGAAGTAAATATATGAGTGAGAGAGCTTAACGAAGCACATAACATAAACGCGCAGACCGATAACCAGCTGAGCCGAAAGGCGACAGCCGTTTTGTCGCTCGCTGCAGCTCAAAACACAAACAGCAAAATAACAACAAAAGCGACAAGTGGTGGCCCCAACACATGGCATGAGGGGTTCATGGAGAGCAGGCGGGTATGCCCAGCAGATAGTGGGAGAAAGAAAGAGAGAGAGAGAGAGCGCGCAGACATTGAGCGCATATAAAAAGACACAGATAAAAAGACCGGTATGACCACGCAAACAACATATAACACCAACAGCGAATGAGCGACCAAAAGACAAAATCGAACAAACACAAACGGCGCTGCCATTCATTTGCTCTCTCAGTCTCCCTCTCTCGCTCGCTCTCAATCTTATACCTGAATTTGAGTGAGCGTTACACATACAAGCACAACATCACGTAGGCTGCTGGCGTGCTTTTGTTGAGGGCAGCGTGAAAAACGAGGTTAACGCAAACATCTACACCAACTCACACACACACAAACTGACACAAGCACAGCAATATCATCGCCTGATGTGCGAATTGCGTTCAAAAACAAATGAGTGGAAGGGCAAAAAAAGTAAAGCTAAAACAACAAAAACTACTTTAAATGGTGCTTTGTTTTCTCAAAACAACATGCATAAATACACATGTACATACATATCTTTGTGTATGAAATTTCTTTACCTTTTTTTTATACATTGCATGACAGCTATAGCGTTGCCATATGCAAGAAAAAACATTGCAGGGCAGCGTCTACATTTACATGCATATAATATACGAATATTGTAAGCATTAATGTGCTTGTGTTTGTGTAAGGGAGAAATGCGTGTGAGGCTGCACGTACGCACACGCACACGTATTGCTATTACAAAGCAGAAGGTAGACGGCCCTGTGCTTAGGTGGAGAAAAACAATAGTGATTATTAATACTTAATACTGCTCGCCTGTCACTCATTAATCGTGCTATAGACCAACGCACGGTGGCAATTGGCCAAACAACCACCCACAAAGTGTGTATGTAAGTACATACATATTTACAGTAACAATAAACTTTCATTGGAAAATAAGTTATCGATACAGCGACAAACGAAGCCTTCTACCCAAATCCCGTTTTTTTTTTTTTCACTAGAGGCTTGCATCMAATATGCAGCTGCAAACTGCTAAAAAAAATCCAGCCCTCCCCGCTCACATAGACATAGCCTTCATTTCAATTGATATGCATTCAGCTCAGTTAAGGCGCTGATAAACGTGATTTCTATTGCATTTTTGTTCGCTGAATATTTATTTATTTAAAAAAGTTTTTTGTTTTTGTTTTAGGTTTGTCATCGTCAGTCTCTGCCACCGCTGCTGTTGCACTAGTAGCAGCGACGCGTCGCGATGTCGCTACACGTCAGCAGACGTATGCCTCGAACTCGGTCAGCGTTGGAGCGAGGCAGTACAACAGTGCTTGGGGCAGAGAGCGGGCGGCAGCTGCGCTCATCGCTTTGTCTTTGTTCGCAACGTTCGTTCRTTTTTGTTTGCTCGTTTGCTTTGACTGTCGTTCTATTTTGGGTTTCTGCTGTTGCTGCCGCTGCCACTGCTGTTGCTGCTGTTTCTGCCGCTGGTTGCAGCGCCAAAGTGCAATAAACGTCATCAAGGTTATGTGCAGCCGCTGCGCTGCTACTGTAGTTGCAGTCGCAGTCGCAGTCGCTGTTTGCCGCAGTCGCTAGTTTCGCTTTACAGTTTATTAACACTTCGTGATCCGTTTTCATTTGTTAAGCTCTTCGAGTAACGAAAAAAGCTCGCACCGTGAATCATTTTGTATAAATTGACTGCACACTCAGTTAAGATAGCTGAGCATGTTTTACAGAGGCCATCTCGCTTGCACGCATTTAGCTCTGTTTTCTTTTTATACCAACTTTTGTATATGTATGAACTTAATAAAAATGCAAATAAATTTCGTTAATTTGTCAATTCCGGAAATAAGCCTCGGCGCGCAGCTAGTTCAAAAGCAACAGCAGCAACAACAATAATTCATTTCACGGTTCTGCCCACACAACGTTGACTCAGTCGACAGCAGCTCCGACTCCGCACCCGCCCCAACCCTTTCAGACATTTGGCCAGGGACCGGGTAGACAAAATTCTGGGAAAGTTTTCTCCTCGATTTTATTTGCGTCTCTTCTTCAACGGAGCAGCTGTCTGAGCTGTTTTCATATGTGTTGCACATTTCCTTCCAGCTGTTTGTTGCTCTATACCCTCTCTATCTTATCGCTGCCACTCTTACATTTCTCTTTCCTGTACAGATAACCCAATCATTTATTAATTCTTGAATAGTCGGGACCGAATACATGGGGACGATCCCCTAGAGTTAGGCCAAGAGGTGCTTATTGCTTCGGGGCGAGTATTATTTGCAGTGAATGGGAAAGGACGCACCAAACGATTAGTGTTAAAAGAATAATACAAAAGACATGAATAAAGAGAGTATAAGAAATATATATGACACAGTAACAATCCTATTGAACAATGCCCTATTAATATTATTATTATTATTTTGAAATATTTTGGTTATAAAAAATATATTTCAGTTTTTTTTTTTTAAGATAATAGTAGTAATTTTTATAAATATATCCAAGTAAATATTATTTTAAATTAAAAGGGAGTATACAGAATAAAAAAAATCAAATCGAACAATCTATTTATTTAAATAAAAAATATATTATAGTTTTGCCAATTCATTTATTCTTATTTTTGTTTTATAGTTGCTGTTACAATTGATTGTCCATAGTTCTATAATTTTTAAAAATGTGTAATTTACAAAATTCAGAACTTTTCTGCATATTTCAATCTTCTTTCTTTTTCTTGGCCCATATGTAAAAATAAAACTGAATATCAATCATTTATCATATCCTCCTCAGCGTTGCATATGTATATCTCACATATTATTATACAACACATTATTTGTTTTTTTCTTTTTATTTAATTAAATGTGATGCAATCTTAGCTATTGACGTCACAGGAGTTTGTAAAACGCAATCTAGAAAACGTGTTTGCTATATTCTGCATTGAAATAAATTAATTTCTTTATATGTACACGTTATGTAGTTAATATAATAGAGAAAACTAGACCTCAGATGATCTGCTAACACGACATATGATAGGGGCGAATACTATTGCTTTAACGAATATAAACAAATACATAGTGAATTGCCGACGAAAATCAAACAAATTAAATAAATTGTAAAAAAGAATATACGTCGTAGGTTCTTAATATTTTTTTGTAGAACTTAAAAAATAAATTTTTATTAGACTAAGCATTTGCATCTAAACGGATTGCATATGCATATATGAATGAGGAAGTCTTTATGCGATATTATTTGTGAAAGCATTCCAAAATTTGAGCGCACTTTAAGCAACTGCAGCCCACTGTAATTACCTAAAAGGTAGCGGGACATGCAGCAATCGACGGCCAATCCAGTTGATGTCGATATGCATATACTTAAACATACCCTACACTCAATATATATTTTTAAAGCTGAAGCTCAAGGGATGCCTGCAGACAGTCAGATAAATTCTAGGAAATGTTCGAAATAGGAATGTACATAGAAACCATTTGTTGCCAGGGGCCGTCGCAGCTTTATAAATATTTTGTACGTAAAACGAATGCGTAATGGTAATCGGAAAACACATGCACACGCACACAGAGGCAAGTGCAATGCGTTCCAGAACGAATTCGAAACTAAACAATAAGAAGCACCAAGTGGCAGACATTACACGAATAGCGGCGTAAGAACAATTCACCGAAGAAGACAAGACGAAACCGAAAAAATAAAACAGCCCATGCACAGAATCACACATACACATACGTACAAGGGCAGCTAGCGTGTAAGATATAGGGATGAAGGGCGCCGCGTTCTACACTGATGCCTCTATTTCGCTCGCACACACTAGTGTTTTGCGTGGCAGCTGCAAAATAAAGTCTCAATGCACACACTTAGCACAGTGGCCGCACAGCCGCATTTTGCGCTTCAAAGGGAGAGCCAAAGAGCGTAAGAGCGAAAGAGTTACAGAAAAGGAGTTGAAAAAGTAGTAAGAAAAAAACTTGAAATTCAACACTCACCTGATTGACTTTGGCTGCAGCTGTTGTCCGTGTTGCTGCAAGAGACATTGCTGCCGCCTACGCCGCTGTCCGCAGAGCCGCTAGCGTTGTTGTTGTTGGCGTTGCTGCCACTGCCGCTGCCGGCGTTGCGTCGCAGCGACGCAAACTCCATTGCAGCAGCTGTGCTGGCGTTTTCCTCTTCCAAAATACGTAAAACCATAATTTTGGCGCTGTCTTTCGACTTTGAATCCCTTGGTTTTCCTTTTGGCACTCACACAGTCTCTCTTTACTCCTATCACACCAGCGAATGCACGCACCGTATTTTTGAGAACTATTCCGGTCTAACAGCTGCAAGCTTGTCTTCTCCTTTTCCTTTTCGCTCTTACAGAGTGCTAATAAGACACAGCGTTGACGTCAACGTCGCTGCTGCTACTTCTGCAACGGCTGCGTTGTGCTCTCGCTCTCTCTGCTGCTGCTTCTGCTGCTGCGGCGTTAGCTGTTGTTGCTGCGCTCATTCAAAATGGTGGCTATTGAAAAGATTTTTCTGTTGCTGCTACGCTGTGGCTGCTCTGCCAAGAAATTAATAGTTTGATTTGAATTTTTTGCTACTACAATTTTTTCACTTGATGTAGTTGCAGTCGGCGTCGTTGCGAATTGCGCAGCAGCATCAAAAAAGAAGGAAAATTGTCGCAGGAAAATTTACTTTGGCAAAACAATTTTTTCAGCCACTGTTCGGCAGCTGCTGTTCTGCTGACGTCGGCTGCGCTGCGCTATTGTCGGTCGGTTGTTGGTAATGGTTGCTGTTGTTGTTGCTATTGTTGCTGGGTTTTCTCATCACATTGGCAGAAGCAAGCACAAAATTGAATATTTCTTTTATTTTTTTTTTTTTCAATATTAAATGATTTGATCCTCCTTGCTTTTTACCTTTGTGGTAGATATTTTGGTATATATGTATTTGTGGGGGCTTGAATATGGTTGATTTTATTGTGGTTGCAGTAAAATTTGATTGAATATTGCAAAATTTGCTGTTGGTTATTGCCTGGGACTGACTGGTGGTGTTTGGTCGTTGTAGCTGTTGTTAAAAATTTTCTGCTGATTACAACACAAAAAAAATCGCTGAAATAGCGGACAAAAGCCGTTTTCTTTGCGTTTTTCGCTTTAAATTATCTCTTTTAGCTACCGATCCATTTTTTAACGTTCGAAGATGATTTCCGACTGACTAAAATTAGCGATGCATCATTGAAGTAATACAAAAACATCGATAACTTTTCAGTGGCGATAGCCGTTGACAATAGTTTTCTTCTTATCGATATATTGATGTTAACAATAACATTTTTCCACTAGCACATATATGGTTAGTGATTATACCATTTACAGTAATTCAGATATTTAGAAGTTGACATATGCAAAAACACATATGTTAGATTTTCTTGGTAGCTTTATAGTTCATTTTCCTTCAATAAAAAATATTTATTGATTGGTGCCACTGTTAGCTGTGGAGCGAACACTGTTAATTGAGGAGCAAATCAGTTAACCAGTCCCGATTCGACCCTTAGCAACACACATTTAACGTATTTTCATTTTAAAGCTCGGAAAGCTCACAATATACATATTTAGTAAATATGTTAATTATGTGGTGTTATACTATGTAATATTTTGAACCGCCCCAATTGAATATATAATTGATGGGTGGAGCTATGTCCATCAACAACCACCAATCGTATCGTCGAAGAGTTGCTACGACAGGACATTGCCAGGCGCCTGCGTAAGTCAACAATCGTCCAATTCGAAATGTCCTTTGAAACAATTGCACTCAAAGGCAAGTGTTTCCAAAATGTAGTTTCTTTTGGCTTGCCATTAGACACGCTACAAATAACGCTCGCAACTTTCAATAATTATCACTTTATTGTTATCTATTGAATCCTTCTTCGTGGCAAGATGTCCGACGATAACCCAGTTCACGCGAAACGCGCGCGACTCGCCGTTAGCTCAAAGCCAACGAAACTGGCTGAAACGCCTCTACCCAAAGTCTCGAATCGCGTGCCCAAGTGCGCCCGCTGTCGCAATCACGGCATCATCTCCGAGCTACGCGGCCACAAGAAGCTCTGCACCTACAAGAGCTGCAAGTGTGCCAAATGCGTTCTGATCTTTGAGCGACAGCGCATTATGGCCGCACAGGTGAGATCTGAAAGATGGACTCGGAGAGGTATGGAGATCCTTCAGAGAATTAGAAAGATAATGCAGGCGGTGATAGTTTGGGAGAAGAGAGAATAAGAAAGCCAGAAGACGGAAAGAGAGTTATTCTAGAAGAGGAAAAGCAGAGTAACATATAAAGATATGTAGGGTGAACATGGATAAGAACTAGTAATAATAAATAAGGAAAAAGATAGGGACAGAGAGACAAGATAGATATAAGAATAAGAGACTAGGAAAGAAATGTTAAAGGAAAAAGAATAACTGGCACAGAAAGGTAGGGATCCAAGGAAGTAGCGGGGGGGAAATAAACCCATTATTGTAAGAATGAATGTAAATTAGAGAGATAGATATAGAGAGGCAGAAAGAATGTGAGAGTCAAATATATCAGATAATAGGAGAAAAGGGAGTAGCAGAGACAATAAAAAAAGAGGAGAAATAGTAATAGTCCTTATAGTCCCTGATAAGCTTTTGTGTTTAATTGATATTTCTTTATACTGTAAACTTATTTGTTACTATCGGTCAATAATAATATTTCGGTATAATAATCTTTTGTGCCCTCAATAATAGAAAGAGTTATATCAAAGCAATACTTAAATTTTTCGTCCTATATAAATGGCTTTGAATCATCTCAATTCTAAATAAACTTAAGATTTTTTCATAATATTTTATATAATTATTGCACTACAATAGGCTAAACTTTTCCCATAATTACATCCCCCTTAACCCTATCATCCTTCAGTTTTTTCAATTAACTCATTGCGTATCATATGCTTCTCGCATCTTAATAGTTATTCCATTAGTATTGTCTTTAGATTAACCGAGGCAATGTTCTAATTTGAAAGATAAACAATCCAGAGCGAGGGCAATTGCGCCTGTATCCTTCTCCTGCTCCTGCTACTGCCCCTGCTCCCAGTCCCTGGCAAACAAATGAAATACGAAATTCTGTTCAGATTTGTGGTAAACTTCTTCTGGTCTTCTCTCGGACTTGGTTAACGCCCGATGCCCTCGCCTGATGTTGCTGATGATGGAAACTTGTCAAAGCGTACGAACAAATCGAGCTAAAATATCCGCTTACCAACTGTTTGCACAAGTGTTCAGCGGGCGGGTTCGCATTACATGGGGGAAACTAACTGGCCGAAGAATATTTCAGCTTGTTCCCAGATTCGTCTGAATTCGAGTTTTCATACCATTGAATTGGCGAAAAGCCAAAGAACTCGAAGAGATTTCTAGTGAAGTTGCGGCTCATATTTGTTAGAGCTAAATAATCAAGTATTCAAGTTTTATTTATCACTTCTCCTGCGGTGTTTGCGGATTCGGGAACGACCCAATTTTGTTTTCGTGGGCGATACCCAAAGGAATTGCAGTTGGTTTTGGTGCTTTGTTTTGCTTCTCTGTTTACCTCGCGCCAAGTCAAACAGAGATTCTGGAAAGTCGCCTCCAACACTTGTCGCATATTAATTTCAATTGGCATTCGGTCTGCTCACAGGTTGCCCTCAAGCGCCAGCAGGCGGTGGAGGATGCGATTGCGCTGCGCCTGGTGGCAAATAAGACGGGACGCAAAATCGAGGCATTGCCGCCGGGCAGCATTTTCGGACTGACCGTCACGCAGCCCAAGGAGCAGCCACAGTCAATGCAGCAGCAGCAGCAGCAGCAGCAGGAGCGGGAACAGGAGCAGGAGCATGAACAGCAAAAAGAACAACAGCAGCAGCAAGAGCTGCAGAAGCTGGAATCCCAGCCTGAATCCTTGGCCGTAGCCGAGGATCTGAGCGCAACGCGTCGCGACTTTGTTTCCCAGAGTGCGATCGATATGCTGGCCCAGCTCTTTCCCCAGCGCAAGCGATCCGTGCTCGAGCTGGTGCTCAAGCGCTGCGACCTGGACTTGATACGCGCCATCGAAAACGTCTCCGACGTCTCTGCCCAACCGCCGACGGCGGAGCAAACGTCCGTGGAGCTGCTGCCACAGCTGCCGCCCCAGCCGCTGCAATCCCTGCAGCTGGCGATGCCACCACGGAGCAGCGCCTTTCGCCCAGTCATAGCAGAGCAGGTGAGTAAACAGACGGACCTGTAAAGAGACTGAAACCATGTGTGTCCCTGTGTGTTTATTTGAATTTTGATACTGATCATCTATTTGTTTCTTAGTCTCTTTATATAATTTATTTTAATTATATAATGACAATAATATTTAGTTGGACAAAATACTTTATCTGCTACGATTACACAATTATTGATGATATAAGTGTAAATTGGTACGGGATCTAGGATTTCATTCATGAATGCAGGAAAGACATGATTGACTAGAGAATGTTGCAAAAATTCATTTAGATGTACACTTTTCTATAGTGATAATCCAGAGATTGAAAATTAACTAATTGCCAAAATAAAAAATATTTTTGGCATTTGTTTATCTATACAATTGCTGCGTTTTCAAGATGATTATAAAAACTCAAGGATTTCGTACGCTACCAAAACAATTTTCTGAAGAAATTCTCATATATGCTTGTTAATTCTAAATATTCTTAAAGATCACTTCTTATATTTACGTGTTTCTATAATTTCGAAATGCTTTGATTGCAAAAATAGTTTTATGGAAAGTATCCAGTCTAGTACCAAAAGCGTGCAGAATATATAGAAACATTTTTATTTCATCATCTAAACAGTGTTAATCGCCTATAGTGTACACTAACCGATATCTTGATACTCACATTTTCAATTAGGAGAATTTACAGTCGGGTGTACACGGCTTGCAGAATTATAGATTACATATGTCTTGCCTGCCTATCTTGGCCTAAGATCTTACTCTCTGTCACACTCTCTCCCTCTCTCTCTCTCGCTCTCTCTCTCGCTCTCTCTCTCTCTCTCGCTCTCTCTCGCTCTTGGACAATCGGCTTTTCGTTTGTCTTATGTTTATTCAACTCTTCGCTTCTGCAAATCCCACTGCCTCGACTATCTTTGGCTTTAGCTGCCACTCTTTTATTTACCTCGAACACATAGTGCGCCATCTGTTGCCTGGTAGACGCATTTCTCAATTGTCAATTGTCTCATCTCTTTCACAGTATGCATCGAAGGCTTCGTCGACGGCAGCCGCTGCTATTTGCGCCTATCCCAAGTGGTTCGTGCCGCTCTCCTTTCCCGTTACCATGGGCCATCTGTCGAACTTGGCGCCGCGCTGCAATCTGCCCAACTGCAGCTGCTTGGACAGCTATCAATTCCACTAACAACAACAACAATAATAACAACAATAACAACAATAACAACAATGCTATGTTAAAATCTAATAAATTTATTAAAACTACATATAAAAATAGAAATCTTAAATGGACTTTTTGGTCACGTTGCAACGCGTTGGGCCACATCCTCCTCAATGCTCTCCTCATCGTCCTCGTCGTCCTCCTCATCCGCTGAGAGGTACATGCGATCCTCGTCCTCGCTGTGAGTCCCTCGCCCCGTTCCGGGCTGTGCATAGGCTGCGCTGCTGCTGCTGTTGCTAGTATTCGCTGTGGGCGTGGCAGTGGCATGATTCGATTGTCGCTTGCTTTGATTCGCTCGGCGCCACTTGGCGCGTCGATTCTGAAACCAGGTCTTCACCTGCCGATCCGTCAGCTTCAGCTGCAGCGCCAGATGCCGGCGCTCCTCGGGCGACAAGTACTTGGAGCTGGCGAAGCGATTCTCGAGATTTTTCGTCTGCTGCGACGTAAAGCGGATTTGGCCGCCCTTCCGCTTCACGCCAAAGTTCGACATGTAAAAGCTGGCGGCCGGATATGCCGCATTGCAGTAGAGAGCGGCGGCAGCAGTCGCTGGATTGCTGAAACCTACAAAAGCAAGTAAAGTAAAGTAAATTTAATACATGTACATAGCCGAACGCTCCAGTTGCTAGTGCTTAATTCTTAATTTCGACTTAATTTTATATTACTTCTAATCCTTAATAAATTAATAGATATAATGAACAGTTTTCCCATACTAAACCATTACTTTTTTATCTTAGTTAAATTCAAATTTGTTTACAAATATTTAAATTATTTTAAAAACTATATTTGAGCTTTCATTAACTCATTTGCACTGCTATTTGCATAGGAGATCCGCTGCTTAAGTTATGCTATTAACATGATGCTGTTAACAGCATAACATGACATTGTGGGGGAGCAGCAACTTATATTAAAGTAAGCTGGCATTTTCACTAATTAAAATAATTTAAAATGTAAATTTAAAAAATTTATGAAAATGAAAAATTAGAAAAAATTTAAATATATATATTATATGCTATAAAGTCACATATTGTCATAACATGACGGAGTCCAACTGGATGTTGCCTTCTTCAGGCAACTCACTACACTGACTTCTCTAAAACCTCGATGTGAACCATGCGCTCATCTATAGGCCAACCAGGCAAGATTTTTTACATAAAATCAGAATCTTTTCATTTTAATTGATATATGTATTAAGATTCAACGCATATTTGGAAGCCTAACTTGTAAATTATAGTACGACTTTTTATTGACTTTAATTAGTTAATTTTTTTCTCCAATGCATTGGAATCTAAAAATTTGAAATTGTTCTATTAAGTGAATGTTTTAAAACTAAACGCTTAGTAAAATAATTATAATATAATTTTCATCCAAATATGTTGTAAAAGAAACAATTAAAAAATTAAATACATTTTTAAAATATAAATAATAAAACTCTGAACAAAGTATATACATTCACAAATATTTAAAATTAATTTTAAATACATAATTAATATAAATTTAATTCATGAAAATATCAAATAATTAAGTAAATATATACGTATTACATGATATATGTATATGTAAATATTTACTATTGAAATAATGACATAAATTGAATTGAATTGAATTGCCCTGATTTTCTGCGTAGCGCCATGGAAAGCTTTCCTTTATCGACATTTACTTTGTAATGAAGCAGCGCGAATCGTTGCTCGACTTTGATTGGCCACTTCGATTGGTGATTTGTCTCTCTTTCGCACACACTCTTCGTTCCGTATGCAGAGTGAACACGCCCACTCAAGCCGGCAATTGGCCTGTGGGCAATTGAGGAAGAATCAATTGCCATAATTGTTATCGGAGGAGCAGCAGGCCAACAACTAATTCGATTGTTGTTATATGGGTCCGCATAATGGAAGAGTCTCGAGTGGATGGCGTGATAAGGTGGCTATCGCTGCTGCAGTGCTACCTATGTACATACACATGTACATATGTGTGTAGGTATGTGAGTGAGAGACGGCAAACGGAAATTCGCACTCATATTTCTAATTAAACGGAGTGACACCTAACCATACTGAGATCGTCTGACCTCAGTCTATATAACGTCCATAAATAGAAGCACATCACAAATATTTCGTATATATGTATATCTGTGGTTATATATACCCTATAAAGTTAATGACGGTTGCGATTTAATGTCATAATTTAAATTGTACAAATATAATTATTAACGTTTATTTTTATTAAGTGGCGTATTGCGCGATAAGCCCGGGAACCTAGAGCCCCCACTCTAACCATCTAGAACTTCCACTGCTCTGATTTCACTGCTTTTTTTTTCATTTTTGACTTCTTGCACTTGAGAACAATTTGCTGCTAATCGTTCGTATATTAGATGAATAGGCCAAAATAAAAAAAATAAAACATAAAATGTATATACATAATATATAAATATATACATATATAATACAACTGAAATCTAGCAACACGTAGAGACGACAACGGACGTGCTTATCTCGATGGGAATCGAATAGCAATCGTCGCCAGAAGATGATGGACAGCGCCTATTAATCGCCTCTAATAGCATTTTTCGTTTAGATAAGCTCCCAAATATTGTCCAAAGATTGGAAAATGAAATCGAATCGATTGGAATATGCCCTGTGCTTCAGCTAAAAGCTGTCATATCAATATCCGGAATTTATACAACCAAAATAAATTGACAGAATACAGAAGCTATTTATTCTGTAAGACACTTATTTTAAGCCAAACCTCGTGGTAAGATCGAAAAACATCGAAAGTATGTGAACCGCAATACTATCTTATACAAAATATCCCAAAAATATTCAAGAGTTATATCAAACATTTGAAGGAATTCAAATTTCTAGATCTCTTTTCCATTTCATTTCCATTTTATTTGGATGCTAAGCTATATCGTAGAACTAATACTTGAGCCCTATAAATAAATATATTTGGTTTGATAAGATTTTAACTGCATTTATATATAATTTTGGGCCTAATTTAAAATAAATAAGAAGAGAATGTTTCTAAGATTCTACGATGATTAAAAAAAATTTTTAATTGAATATAAATATATTACATAATAATATTGATAACATACGTACAATACATTGCAATGTTTAAATTTATATTTGTATATATAACATGCTATATAAAAAACGTAGTACATATACAGAAAAATCTTAATGCACAACTAAACCGATAGCATTATGGAACATGATTAATAATAATTATTATTAAATGTGTTCTGTGTGTTAAAAGAATTGTGAGCCAGACGACGAGCTTAGTTAAAATTCAAGCCTGGTTCATTCAACTTAATATGTATAATATAATATGTATTAATAATGAGTATTAGAATAGTTTTCATTAAATTTGTTATCAAAAGACGACTAAAATCTATTTAGAATTAAATTTAATTTAATTTAACTTTAAATTTTAAGCTAAAGGTTGACATCGTAAAATAAACAATAAATTCATTACACTATAATCGTGAGCTTAACACAAGTATAAGAAGTATAAGTATATATGTATTTATAGGGTATCTCTTGGTCACAGTGTTAACTCGATATGTCATATGGCTGTAGCTGCCCCATTGCCTGTCTGACGCTCACCTCAATTTCAAATATTTGTCATTCAGTTTGTGATAAGGGCTACCCGAGAAAAGTGCGTGTTATATGATGACGGCAACCACGACAGGGGATTTGATTTTGAGAGGGATATGCTATGGGGGGAGGTAGGCCGGTAGGGTGATCGACTGTAGATCCATGGGCCAGACGAGCCAGCTAATCTAACACGGGTGAAATGCATACAGATTGTGGGCGTTGCGGGTAGCTTAGGGGAGTGTTGGGTATTTCAAGTGCCCATTGGCGCCAACACTTGACTTTGACAAAAATCAATGCACATTAATCATGCTGGGGGTAACTCGTAATACCCTTAACATTTTTGGAAATGAACAGTATGGGAAAATTCTTTGCAATGCATTTAAATAGACGTTAAAGTTTTGAATGAAGGTCGATGCACATTTGAATAAAGATGGGCATGATGGATATGAAGAGACATATGTGTTTATAAAGAGATTTTATTTTAATGGATATTATTGGGATTTATTAATCCAAGTTCAACGAACTTCAACTTGTTCACTAAGAAGTATATTTTCAGATATTATTTTACACTGTCTGATCACGGAGGTTTCTGAATTCCTGATAAGTGTAAAAATCAAGGACCAGTGTTGAAGTTTAGTTTAAATTAAATTAATAATCGATGTAATTTGTACCCATATTATGATAAACATAATCAATTAATGATCAATTTTATATTTATATCATATCATATCATTTATTATATATGAATTATATGTATATAATATATAACTTGCCACTTCCCAATATCTCAAGTCTAAAGTTGAACCAAGGTAATGATTTTCATTATCAAATTGGGTATGTTTTATTAGATACTACGGTTTGGACTTTTACCTAAGCTAGGTTATTAATTATGTATTTATATCGCTCATTCATTATGGGTATTATAAGAGAGCTGACTCATATCCGGTATTCCATAACGTTGCATGATCGAATGATACGTTTTCTAGTGCTCACTTGTCTCAGCAGGCCATGAACTTTGGACTTTGATACTGGATATGCTGCTATTATTTCGTAAGCAACTACAAATTGTATTGTCTTTCGATTGTATAAAGAGTGGACTGTTTTCCGAATCTATACTAGAACCCTAAAGAAAGGAACAAACCTTTCAAAGGAAGTAAATACGTAATAAGTATAAGTAATTATGAATAATTTATAATATTATGAATGATTGTAAAGGAGTGCAAATTTACGATATTTGTTGTTGCTCAAGAACATAACGTTATGCTCGATTGTTTTTCACATCTCAAAATGCTGGGAGAATCGGACAAAAACAATATCATCTGCAGTCTCAGAAGTAAAGCCACTAAGTTTTGCAGGTTAGTCACTGTGGACATTTTTGACGGATAGATTTATCAATTATTGGAAACGTCGAAAATGTCTATTTCATAGAAAACCTAAATAATTTTGGATCATGAATGATTATGATCGAGTATATTTTAACTTGATTTAAGGCAATGTAAGGTTACATAAATAATTGTGCTAGAAATTCAATATCTACATCAATTATTTTAAAATTAACTTTAAGGTTTTAGAAAGCATTTTGATCTTGATTTAATGATAACAATGAGTGTATATAATAAATTAGATTTGCGAATCTTCAATAGAAGCAAAAATCATTAGAGCCATATATAATTGTTTTTCATATTTTGAATCCTTTATATATATTGAATTTTATTATTTTTATGTTTAAATAATATATATTACGATATCAGACTTTTAGTTATTATTAGTCTATATACAAGTATGGCATTATCACTCACCTTCGCAATCCAGAAACGGACTGTATTGATCACAGTAGGCGGCTGGTTGAGCAGCTGCTGCTAACGCCGCGGCTTGGAAGTGTGGGATGAAGAGCGGAGAATTCTTCTGTAGATTTAGCATTTGCTGATAGAACAACGAGGCGGGATCTGAGTAGACGGGATTGAGGCGCACCGATGACGGTGATAATAAGGTGCCAGACCCGGACTCCAGATTCTTGAGTGCATATTGTGTGGATAGATCGTATATCGACTGCACTGGAGAGCCGGTTGGCGGTGCAAAGGCTGTGCAAGGACTCGACTGGGTGGGCGTTTGTGCCTGCGGTTTTGTTATCACTTCCGTTGTTTGGGTCTTGTGCTCCAGAATGTTGTCTATGGAGAAGGCGGACCTATTCGCCTTAAGTGTGTTGTTATCCATTTTGTGTTAGTGCTGTCCGATCTGTGGCTGTTCGAAAATAAAAGCGCCGAGCTGCGAGGAGAGACGACGCGTCTTGAACGGGCGCAGGCGATGAACTAATTGGAATGGCCGTTTGCGCTGGGCCCAATAAATTGTACTAAATCAGATTTCACAGAATATAATAGATTGTACATATACATATAATGTTGTGCTAATGGGTATAGATATCTATATTAACAATAATATAGCCGACGCTATGTAGATAGGCATGTACATAGATAATGATAATGGGAGCGCCAGGAGGGGGCCTTAGAGGGGAGGTGGCCCACCATCATATCGATAAGGTGGGTAGCTTGCTCCCGGTAGGTAGGTAGGCCCGATAGCCCGTTGGCTTGGCCCTCAGTCCAATCGAGCCGATCCACCAGTCATATAAATCAAAACACTCGGGACTTATTAAACATACACACACACACACACATGCACACTCGCTCACTCACACATGTATTGCCAACAGTGGCTGTCCAATGCTACTATCCCATTCTTTATGTTGCTATCTCGCTCTCACGCATTGTCGGCGTTTTGTTTGATCGAGTAATTGTTAATCACCCGCTTATCGATATCGCTCGCACGTCGTTGTTTGTCGTTGTCGAGTTGTTGTTGTTGTTTTTGTATTCCACTCATCCTGCTCGTTGTTCTCATCCTCGTAGCACAACTACTGTTCGTACTGATATACCCTGTAATGTTGTATATGGCATATAACCTGATGAAAAGTTAAGAGCGGTTTACCGCAAGTAAGTGACTAAAGTTTACTCTTTTGAGTAAGCCCTATTTATGTACCATTTTATAAAATAGCTATTTATAAAATTCTACAGTTATACTTACATATTTCAAGTAAAAAAAAAAAAAAAAAAAACAATAGAATATAACTAAATTCCGAAAATGTAAGTCAAAAGTTTTTTTTTTTTTTTTTTTTACTTTGATTAATTCGGTTTTTTATATAAAATTTTTTTTTTTTATAAAAAACAAGATTTATAGAATTCGCAAATAAGTTATACACACAGCTTTATCATATCTCTAAAATATATATTCGTCAATAAATCGTTATCAAAAGTTGTACACAATTATATAGAATATTGTGTATAATATCTCATAGAGCAATTCATAGACAAGCTCTCTGCCTTAGGGTATCTCATGGTCGTGCACACCCTCTGCTGCCACCCACATTCTGTGCTCGCATTTATTTATTGTAGTTGTAAACAAATTAAAAGTACCAATAGGCTCTCACCGATTTCGGCTGCACCCCCGACTTCTCCCTTGATCTATGCCTCCTTCACCCCCTCTGAACCTTGCAGCCCCCGCGGTGATCTACAAATGTCGTCATCGCCAGCTCTTTTGATTGAGTAATCGAGTTGGTGCTACGAATTGAGCCTCCCGATGGTAGTTCCATATTTTTGGGAACTTTCGAAACAATTTATGCGTTTGTATAACTGCTGAAATGCAGGAGGTGGTGGTGCCGCTGTTGCCTCTCGCTTATCAGTCGGGGGTAGTCGGGGTCCCCTTAAAGCCTTTGAGATGATGGATTACTTTTGATTTTGGGCATTGGCGTTTGCGATAAAATATACAAAATAAATGCGCCTAATTGTTGTTATTGTTATTTACTCGCTACCTGAGCGCGATATTGTTTTCAGGTCGCAGCTTATATCTTTTAGATACAAGCATAAAAATACCTATGTTGCTTCGAGTGCGCTTGTTTAACTATTTCAAGTATCAAAGAAGCAAAATCAAGAGTGTTGCTGACAATCAACTTCATTATCATAACTTTGAGGAACTTTATACTTACCCTTATGCTGTGAGGGCAAGATACTTGAGACCTGAGAAATTTTTTCAAATATATTTCTATATAATTCATTCTCACCCCTTCCATTTCATTTAACTAGAAAACACCAAGGTCCACAGAAACCAATTTATAGTTTCTCATGAAATATTATCATATTTTCCCTAAATGTTGATCATATTTATTCGTATGATTTGACAAAGATCAAGTAGGCTCCAACGCCTTAAATGCTTTTGAGTATTTCCTACCCAGCTGCAAATATATTCACGTTAAGTAGTTTTGTAAGATAAATAGTTAAAATATATAGAATTTTTCCTAATGATTTACCAATTTATTTTATATTATAACTATCAAATCTGTAGCACTATACATATGTATATACACCTACTGGGTATATCGGGTAAATCCTACCACTTTAAATCGAGGGTATCCACCAGTGCATAACGAGATTTTAAGTGCCTAGCTTCAATATCTATGAATTGGTCTCGACGGACAAGACCAATACATACATACATACAACATACTCTTTCACTTACTGAATATTTACTAATATTACTTAGATAATCGTCAAATTTATGCCCATTCGAACACACCTAATCAATGCTGATAAGCCTCCATTCGGCTGAATAATAAAAACTCATTATAAAGATTTCACTGTAAATGTCAATTAATAGGCTATTATAAGAACCATTGGGGCTTTTTTTTAGAATTTCACGACTCTAAAATTAGTAGTAGACTAATCAAATTTGTTGAGTCAGTTCAGTTCAGTTGACAAGTAGAAATCCCATAAAAAAAAAGTMATGCTGAAACATGTAAAAAAAAGGTTAAAACAGACGCGTAATTGATAAAAAACTACTTTGAAAGACTTAAACAGTTCATTTTTAATTTCTTAAAATTTCATTGTCAAAATTTAAGTGTTATGAATGAACACAAAAATGCCTATAATATTTTGATAATATGTGCTATCAAAAACCCATTTAAATCCATCTGAGCGAGTCGAAAATGGCATTTATTGTGTAGAAGCTTATGAAAGCTAGATGGATTGGCCTACCCATTTACGCATTAGGTATTTTGAAAATTATTATATACGTTCTATTATTTAAGATAGTCGTAAATGTATACTATTTGTTTGAGAGAGTGTATATAAATATTTACTATCCACTTTATAATAAAATTAGCAGTTATATAAGTCTTGTTGATCTTAAGCTTGATATCCCGAGTTCCATACTTTCTTATCGTCGGGGTGAGTTCAAAATGATTACAATAGCTTCCAGTGAAGTTGCATATATTTACCACTACGCAACTGAAACGTCAACCAAAATCGAATTTTCGGATCACCTCATACCTGTAGCTTGATTTAACTGATTTAACTGATGCAGTTTTGTGACCATATATCAGTATGGTGACCATATATCTAGACATTTTTATATATCTAAAACTATTTCGAGTTTGCGCACGGCCTTGCACGCCATTTTAAATTATTAAATGCATGAATCACAATTGGTGCTTTAATGTGCTTATGGGCATTGAATGCTATGACAATCGCTGACTTCAAGATTGCTGCATAAACAAGCCCCCGAATTGTACTTAAACAAATTACCAAATACTATGAAAACCTTGATAAAAATAATTCGAACAAACGAACGGTCGGCGATAAATATATATGTACCCGATTCGAATTCCAGAATTGATTGCTGTCTGCGCTAGTTGGCAAATAAATGATAATGGATGTCGTTGGATGGGCTTAACTTTCGTCAAGTGACACTAAATTATTAGCAATTATCGTAGACAAACGGTTCGAAACGACTTTAAAATTGGGCATAAATTTGCACTATAATGAAAGAAATATCGAAAAAATAATAATAATAAATAATTTGGGAAAATCTCTCGTAAATTTACGATGTGTCTTTCAATTGAAGCCGTGGGCCATGTGATAAAGAGCCTTAGACATATGATACTGATAGACATATTATGTTTTACATTTTGAATGATCGTCAGGGGCGTCAATACATCAATCATTTGTGTTAAGACTTAAATATGTTGGCTCTTTATTTATATAACTTTATTCATTCTCATGCTTCAACCAATCGCCTTTTTCATACATTCATATACTTTTGTATCTTTTCAATTGATTTCTGGTTTTTACAGCATGTTATTCATATATATTTAAATATATATATGTATATATTTGTGTAAAATTGCTGTTTTACATGTGTAAACTAATTGATTAAATTGTTTGCGCAGCATTTTCAGAATTATCTTCATCATAACATTTTTTTATTATATAATGCATACGAATAAATATATATATATATAGCACTATGTTGCTGCATATGATTTTTAAGCAGATTTTTTTTATTATTGAATTAAATCAGTTATTGCATTTCATCTTTGTTTACAGTACTTTCTTCTTCTTCTATTTATAATATTTATATGCTTCACAAGTTTTTTTGAGAGTTAGTTTTCTTCATTTGAGTATTTTGCTTGGCTTCTTGTGTGAACTTTTATAAAACTAAGACGTGAAATAAATAAATTATTCTAAAATTTCACACGTTCATTCGGTTTAAGTTTCAAGTTTTGAAATTCATATATATTTTATAACTTTTGGATTAGATCTGTATTTTAACTTTTTGGTTTAATAAGCACTACACGTTACAATGCTGACAAAAGTTCGGAGTATTTTTTGTTAAAAATTAAGCATACAATAAAATTAATTGAATTAGTTTAGAAAATTCGAGTACCAAAAAATTATTAGTATAGTTAAAGTTAGGAGCTTGTTAGGAGTTCTTGATGTTTTCAATTTGCATAAATACAAATAGGCTATTTAAGTAAGTTTAGGATAGGTTAATAACATTTAACATATATGCACATATATATACGTAGATATATACATCCATATACATATATTTATATAGGTATGCTCATTGGTATTTGAATAGTTCGGTATCTTTTTAAATAGCTATCAAAGCTCTCTAGACCAGATTGGCCACATGCGTTGTGTCCATGTGCTGTATTAAGACGTGTATAAAGGACATCTCCTTGCGCGCATTCTCCAAAATCACCTTGGGATCATCTGAAGTGCATCGCAAACAATTTGGCGCAAATACCATTGCCAGATTCGACGAATCCATTTTGGTGCAGGCAACCACCTCCGGGTTGGAGAATTGTTGCAGAAAGTGTATTAAATACGTTAGGACCTGTTAAATTAAGATATAGATATATATATATTTGAAATTCGAATTTGACTAGAAATAAAATATTATACACTTACCAGTTGATTAATTTGTGGCAACTTATTAACTATTTCTTTGGCTTTATCGGGATCCTCAGTATTCACGCAATCCTCATAATAATCATCGGGTATAAGCGGATCGTACAGCTCACGATACCATAATTTAAGCAAACTAGCAGGCGCATGTGCATCAACTGTTGAATAAAAACAATATTTAGTATATGTATTTTAAGGCTGGAGCTTAGTTTAACACACCCATATTGTTCTTATAGTCAGGAACATCCCACCGATCCAAGCGACTCTTCATGCAATTCACCTCATCCACATCGGCGGATACTCGAAAAATGCCCTCAGTTTGTTTGCCATTGAGCAAAAGCACCTAAAGAGAGGTATATATATGTAAGTTGGCCTGTTTCTTGACTTGAATTTCTGGTAATACTTACATGCTCTGAAAGCGTGGTTTGTATCCAGGGCAGTTTACGCGTTGGAAACTTATCCTTTTGTAGATCCATCACCTCGGACAGCGTGTTGCCAAACATACTGTTGCGTAAAATTTGTTGCTGAAATTCAAGTTGATTAAAATTTTAAAAAATATGAATAATTATAATGATAGACAAGGAAACATACATATAATGCTACTATATAATAATATATCTCACTAATAATCAAATATGCATGTAATCTATACAAAATCAAGGGTCTAATTAATATAATACAAATGTCAGCTAACCCGTGCCTGTTCCACCTCATCGACGGTGGGCTTCTTGGCCAAGCGTCGGCCGCTGCTGCCAATGCGATCCAAGCGGCGGCAACAAACGGTTGCATAATGCGAGATCTGCACGTGTATGGGCCATTTGCAGACTTCTAAAAAGCCAGTGGCAAACGAGGGATCACGGTGGCGATTAACATAGCTGCAAATGATCAGAGAAACCAAATTAGTTGCTTTGAATAGCTCAATAATGTGTGTGGCGCCTACTTGAGCAGCGTGGGCTGAAACGTCGGAGATGGTGGCACAAACGATAAACAAATGGCCATTAGCTCCCAGCCACGTATAAGTGACTCGCGTTTGGGATTCTCCGTGGTCTGGCGGCATAGCTGCACATAAAGCTCATCGCGTAATCTGCGCAAGAAATACATAAAATGAGAATCAAATCAAGCTTAAATTTTAGAACAGGTATACTAACTGCTGTTGCGGTAGGGATGCTACAATAATATCTATGGCCACCGAATTGAGGTTCATGCCCATGCGTGCCTTGCGATCACCCATGTAGATTTGCACCAGCTTGAACAGCTCAATGGCCGTTTTTTTGTCGGCCTTATCGCGCGACAAGGCCAACATCGGGCGACTTATAGCCTCCGCCGTCCAGCTAAGCATGTCCCGCACAGATGCCTTCTTGCGGAAGATGCCCTTCGAGTGCATGTTCAAGTTGTCAGCGGCAAACTTCTCAATATCACATTCCTTCATGCACGCCAGCGTTGGGGCACCGGGCGCACGCTCGCTGGGTGGAAATATCTGCTGTATGGTGGGCTTTAGTGACGGCGGGGCCAGCTTATGGTTGCCGCCACGGCTGAGACTGCTGCTGCTGGCCAAGAGCTGAGATTGCTGCGACTGCGGCGGTTGCTGCTGCTGTTGCGATTGGCCATGATTGGACTCATCTTTGGTTAACTGGCCGGCGACTAGACGGGAAATTTGACGATTGGGCGAGGGCAATGTCTGAGATTGCTTCTGTTTGGCGCTGGACGCATCACTGGGATCCAAATGCAGTTGCTGCTGCTGGTGGTGTGGAGGTGCCGGTGGCTGGCCCAAGCCATGACCATGGCCATGACCATGACTAGCAAACGGATAGGCGGGCGTATTTGAGTACAGCTGCTGATTATTCTGCTGATTGTACTGATGGCCCTGACCCCCTGACGAAGGAGGGCAATGGGAGACGGTGTCATAGTATGAGATCTGATAGCGAGGCTTGGGCTTGGGAGCTGCGACGGGATCCTGATTGCCGCCAATACCCTCCAGCACGGCCTCCACGTTGTCGGAACTGCAGATGGGATGGATACATTATTAAATAGAAGGTACAATAAAAAGTTTTAAATTAGTTATGGCTTACATATCCTCGCGACCAGCTGGATCGTAGGGCGGATACTGATAGGCATAGTAGGAGACGCTGTCGCCCATATTGGCGTAGTCGTCAATCATGCCATAATTGTGCTCCAAATAGCCGCCATGTGTATCAGAGCCACCGTCGGAGTCCTCATTGTCCGGCTCATGGCCAGAGAGTGAATGCTCCGACTGACTATCCGAGTGATACGAATCCGAATCACCAACGCCATCGCCATCCCGTCCATAGTCATATCGACCATAAAGCTTGGCCTGCTCGATAATGTAATGCTTGAGTGGCAGCAGATGCGGCATCTCCTGCCCGCAATTGCTGTAGAGGGGCGAGATGTTGCCATTGTCATACTCCACATCGCTGCTGTCCGCATGCAAATGGTGCTGCTGCGTCTTGCTACGCCGCGAATCCCGCTTCTCACACGTGTTCTGCAGCGGATGATAGCCACGTTTGTCCAAGCTGGAGCTGGCGCTGTGCCGCAACGAACTCTGACCCGGGTAATGGTGCGATGACTGCGAACGATTTGCTGTGGAGCTGTTGGATTTTTGACGCCTGGCTGTTGAGTCATTGGAGCCCCTGGACGAGTGTGTTAACATGCCTAGATTATCGGAGCCAGCACTTGGTGAAATAGGCGCCGCTTTGCCCAACGACATCCGCTCCAAGCTGAGACGATCCATCCCTGATCCAGGCTGCTGCAGCTGTGGCGGCGGATTTGTGGCGCTTGTCTTGGCCTGTCGAGAGCTCTTTGTCTGCGGACTGATCGGACTCTGTGGACTGGAGTCGCTCGAGTGTTTCTTGTGCCCGCTGCTGCCGCTGCCGGTGGTGCCTTGGCTTTGGCTCTTGCTAGCATTAGTTGTGTGCCGGCGCCGCGAGAGCGGTGTATTCTCCACAGACTTAAAGTACTTTTCATGCATGGAATCGTCGCTGGCGGCACCGCCATAGACAGCACCACCAACACTAACGCCACCACCACCACCGATACCACCGCCATTTGCTTCAGCGCTGCTCTTCCGATACGATTTACTGTGATGTCCAGCAGCCGTTGGATTTATAGAGGAGGACATGAAGCTGCCGGAACGCGCCAATGAGACCTTGTACTCACGATCTGTAAACATTTGAAATAGTTAACAAGTTGAAGAGAGCAAAGGAGAGGTTTAAGAACTGACCTCCAATAGCTGATCCGAATGGTTTACCAGAGGCGGGAGCTGCTCCTCCGCCGCGTTGTGCGATACGTTGCTGTTGCTGCTGTTGTTGTTGTTGTTGTGCGTAGTTGTACTGTCGCTCGGCATCTGGCGATATCTTCTTCTTCTGCGCCTGCGGCGTATTTATCGAATGTGTAGGTGAGGCAATATCGGATGACTTGGAGGAGCAATATCCCTGCATATGGCTGGGCAGCAATTGATGATCGAAATACTTGTTGCTGTCACCAACATACGATGAGGAGCCTTGCGGTAAATTATGCGAGCTGACGCTTTCTTGCAACATTTCAAAGCTGATAAAAGCGAGAGACAGACAGAGACAGAAGAGCAAGCGGGAAAGATGCAAAGAAAATATTGTTCTTATTAAATGGTTGTGCAATGCAAAGCAATAATGTGTGTGTGCGTGTGGATTAGAGACCCATTGGAAACTTATATACCCAAATAATTAAATAAATAAATAAACCATATACCATTTAACTATTAAGTGGAATATTATTCCAGCCGGCAAGAATGTCTGATTCTTGTTTATTTATAATTCAAGAGAATTCAAATGATTTTAAAGGAACTCAAGTATTATCAATATCAAATAATATCTTTCTGATAGTTTTCAATAGTAAATTATTAAATTTAGATTTTTATTTAAATTTATTTATAATTAATATTATAAAAAAGATCACAGTATAAATCTAAACTAGCTGAACTGATTTTCTTTTGAGAGTTTTTAATAAGCAATTATTGATAAAAAAAAAAAAAAAAAATTTATCAAAATTACAATATTAAAGTTCTGCTCAAATTGAAAATACTTTAAATATTTTCTAAAAATTAATGAAAACAGACAAACAAGATCAGAATATATAATCTAAACAGTAAATAGTTATTTTTTAAAGGAATTAAAGAACTGATGTCTACATTAAGCATACGCCCAGTCGACCAAGTATATAAAGCACTCATAAATAACCATTTAATGGGATAGTTTTTATTTCTTCCAAGCCTGCACAACTTTTAAAAACCTTCACAGCCTGAACCCGATTTTAAGCTAAGTACTTACGCGCCATTATCCTTGCCGCCGTGCTGATACTTCTGCAAGGAGCCCAGACGCAGCGGCTCATTTGGCCCTGATGCACCATTAGAGGCTTCATTGAAGCGCCGATAGCCATGAGCGCTGGACAGACTCGAATCGCTTGACTTGCCCGATTCCTTGTAATGATTGCAAGAGTCTATTAAATAGAGAGCGAGGGAGCGAGAGAGAGAGAGAGAAGAGTTTAGTTTGAGTGATTTAGTAGATAGAGCCAGTTCAATAACTTACCTTGTGAGCGCCGCGATCCGTAGCCCTGCTGCTGCTGTGATTGCTGTTGCTGCTGCTGCTGCAGCTCCATCGAACGGGCTGAGTCACCAGTGCCAACGCTGCAAAAGAGGAAACGAATCGAATCACATTAAGTAAATAAATATTCGTGCTGCTGGCAATTTTCAATTGAAGCTCACCGAAAACTTTGACGGCCTCGTGGACTAGAGATCATTTCGCTGCTGATCAGCTGCTCCTCGGAGCTGGCCATGGCGCCGTTGCCACGTTGGGCACGCCCCTTCTTATTTGCTGCCGACATGGGCGATGGCTGTTGCTGCGCCTGCTGCTGTTGCTGCTTGGCCGCCGATTGCTTCTGTGGCGTGGTTTGCTCTCGTCGCTCACTCGGATCGGTGTTCTGTTTGAGGGTCTGCAGCTTGGCCAGCGGTATGATGTCACACTTGCTCGGCCGATGCCACACGGTCTTCTGCGTTGCGGCATTATAGTAATAGAAGCGCTGCGTGTTCGTATCAAACAATTCCCACCATTGCGATGAGTCGGTTCGCTTAATTGGCACATCCTGTATAAAGGGAGAGAGTAGGAGAGAGCGAGAGAGAGAGAAAGATAAGCGGAATGAGTGAGAGATTTAAATCCAAATGAATCAGCTGAGCTAAGCTCATATATCATAACTGCATTAGCAAAGTGTGTAAGTATGCGTGTGTGTGCGTATGTGTGTGGGAGGTGTTGTGTTGATAATGTCATTTATGCGCATATTAAATGTTATTCACATTCCTTTAGGCTAGCCAACAGATCATATGAGAACAGAGCTTTGAATATATATGTATATATATTTCACCTGAACTATAAGAATGAAATAAATAAATAAAATTCCGCGAATCGCCCTCAGAAAATAAAGCACATAATTATATTTACATTTTCATAATTATTTCCTCGAGCTCGCATATATCATATATCTTATTCCCCATAAATCAGATAACGCTTTTCACCCAATATATCTCGAGTGCACGTTTGCACAAACATCGAGCGAAATTGAATATTATATTTCATGAAAATTGACGTAAACGTGTCTTCATCCTCATTTCTCTCGCTCACAGCATTTGCAGTTGTCTGTTGTTGATTTCACTCAACTTACTCTGAACAAAAGCTGTGCAAAAACAGTTTTAATACCCGCTCAACAAAATTTAAGATGGGTATATGGATGCAGTGGTTCCAGACAGCTCAAGACTTCATTTGACACATTTTATGAAAATAATGAAGAGTGACTCTACGTCGTATAGTGTTGTATATGTATACAGATTCTGTCCTCTTGGCTTATCATCAACATTTGGAAAATTGTAAAGATGTTGATAGAATTTGACTTTAAGTACATCTTCACCGTCAATTTGTAATGCCCTGAATGTCTATTATGCAGTCGGCTACAGCCGATTGCTTGGGCTCTCCTCTTTTCGCTTTGCAACTCAAGGGCTCTGTCGTTGCATCGGGCTTAATCAGCGTATTTCGACCCAATCAGCTGCATCTAATGGACAGTTTTGTTTGTTGTTGTTTTTCTCGTCGGCTTGATAATCGTTTCATTAGGTCTTGACAAAAACTCAAGTTTCCTTTTTGGTCCAGCCCCGTATATATGTATACGTACATATAAGCAGCCATCTCTTTCTGCTCTGCTAGTCGGCCTGTCTCTGTTTAGCCTGCTGGGCTAGTGTCGAGGGTTATATTTCTGCGCTGACCTTGAACTTTGCAACTGCAACTGCAGCTGCAACGCCCAACACCCCAACATATAGAGCAAGAGCGAGCGCGAGAGAGAGAGAGAGAGAGAGACCAAGAGACAGGCCCTGACCCAGGCCCAGGCACGTGTTATTTTCTTCTCTTTTAATCTGCCACACTTCTGTTGCTTTTGTTGCTGTTGTTGTTTTTGTTGTAGTCTGATAACAGCAACAATGCGCTTTGCATTGAAAGCTTTCGACTCGGCTGGCTTTTCATTTCTGGTTTTCATTTCCATTTCCATGCGTTGCGGGTGCATTGCATAATTTTGAGTTTTATTTGTATTTTTTGCAGCGCCGATTGGGACAAGGCTGCTGAGCAGGGCGAAGCGACACCATCGTTACGCTTTTTGCATTGTTGCGTTTCCAACTGTCAGTCCGTCCATCAGTCACTCAGTCAGCCAGTCATTCATCCATGCAGCGAGTTGAGCCGGACAGTCGCACAGTCGGATGGACTGACAGCGCATAAGTGGATTTGTTTCACTTTCAGCCCGCCTCCCAGTTCCTCTCCAGCGCGTGCCACTTGGGGCAGCAGAGAAAACAGATAAAACTAGCTTGATAAGCAACGAAATTTGTATACTCTTGTTTGATATTTAATATAAAAGGGATAAATAGTGAGATAATTATAAATAGAAATATTTCCAATATCTTGATAAATAGCGCTTGGTTTGTAATTCGAGAGACAATTTATTGATGATATTTTAACTTGCCATTATGTCTTAGCTAATTAACAAATCTGATTAGAATATCACCATAGCCTTTAGTGGAGCAGAGTATATTCAATATGAGTATGGACTGATGTCTGTGCCTTCGACACGTCCTCATTTTGGCCTTGTGCGATATACCGAATATTTTGTAATTATGAAAATACAACAGCAACAACGAATACAACAACAACAACAACAGAGACTGCAACAACAACAACGGCAACGGCAATAATAAATAGCAACAACAATGAGGTCTACATCTTTATCTCATTGATGGAATTTGTGCTTTTGCCTCCATTTAAGAAAATGAAATTAGAGCAACTCGAGCGCAAACACTGGCAAAAATATCTTTCAGAAAAATCTGTCAAAATGAATATGCATGGAATATATTTATGCACGCAAACAAATGAGAAACTGACAATATTTATAATTATTAGTCATACGCCTACAACATTTAACTATGAGTCAAAGCCAAGAGAAGAGCAAAAAACAATTTAACGATTTGAATACATACTATATGCATAAATTAAAACATTAGACAACTGAACTATTTTATTGTGTAATGAATTAAGGAACATTTCCTAAGTGGAATACAATGTTGAAGCAACTATTATCGAGTAAAGTCAATGCTTTAAATATTAACAGAAAATATATATATCTTTTA